AAAAATCAAAATCATGAGTTTTGAGCAGGAGATATTGATTCGCCCGTGGGTCTGCCCATGGACGACGAAGTTAAATTTGGACTTTTCGAAGCAATTTTGAAAATTTTATCTTCCGCATATCTGGCATGCTGAATTTTGTAAATACATTTGTCCGACACTAGCCAAAGCGCGAATAGTTTCTGGACAAATGGGTTTCCAGAATTAAAACGTGTTTACTACTCTTTAGATCTGTGTTAATCGAACCATTCGAAATTCTTTAAATGTGTGGCTAAAATATTAAAAATTCTGTTTCATCTTGGAACCATATTGACAGTTTTCGCAATGTAAAACCTTCCATTTCCTTACCCATCTATATGTACACTACTGTTTTGGGAATAACAGGCCTTCGAACAGATATGAAATCACATGTCTCCATAAGCAAAGAAGAAAACTGCGCCAGATTCTGACGGTGGTAGTCAGGCGATAAACGGTCTCATTTATTCGTTGGTCGCCGTGGAAATAAGATGTTTAATTGTCTAGTTCAGATGAGTTCTGTCAAAACGAATATTTTTATTTATAAGCTGAAACCATGTACAACATTAGATCAGCCGATTGACGTGACAACATCCACGTCACAACAAGCGAGGTCAAACCACGCGCATCTGTCGAGGCGACAAATTCACTGCGGCGGGAAATCACCAACCGTTTATTAGTCTATAAACAAAAAATGCACACTTACACGTCAAGAAACGAAGGAAACAAAGCGTTTACTCATTGCTGACACTACGGATAACATATTAAGTAAAAGTTAAAGAGTTACGATATATTATAATACGATGATCGAGAGTACAGTCTCCGTCAATAATTTGTAAGTCAAATATCAATTCGATCTTATATCCTTTGCAGAATGTTGGAAATGCGAACCACATCGTTTTGATAATATATTCTATTTTCTGAGGATATTTATCATATGTAATTGATTATATACTCCGCAACTAAAGAAACGTGAACGTAGTAAATTCGTAAATGTCTGACAGCGTGTTGCCGACATCCACCAACACAAAAATTTTACCTAAAAAAGGGAAATGGTCACATCACACGACTGACCGAAACAACGATATCGGCCGACTGCAAACAGGAGAATCATCTTTAGCTGTAGCCAGGTTTTCCCAGGTAGTATCTATCACATTTACACGACTGTGGAACCGTTATCAGACACACAGGACAACACGTGACCTTCCCAGTCCGAAGGGTTCAGTCGACCATGTATCACCGCTAGAACACAGGGCAGATTCATAAGGCTACGTCACTTACCTGACAGAACCACCACGGCCATCCATACATCTACGGCAACATCAGGATTGCGTAGGTTATCAGCCATTGAGGAACTGTTCACGCGCTGAAGGTATTTGCGCTAGACAACCAGTTTGAGGTGTCATTGACGGACCTGCATCGTCGGCTGCGACGCCAATGGTGTCAATGGCCACAACTGCGATTGAGACAAGTTTTGTGAAGAGTCACGTTTTATGCTTCGCCGTGCGGATGTCAGACGTCGTGCTTGCAGGCGTCGCGGGGAACGTTATGTACGAAACTGCATATAGGATGTGGACAGATTTGGCGGTGATAGTGTGATGATGTGGCCAGCCGTTTCCTGCAGGTTTGGTGCAAGTTCTGGGGCATTTTACGGCACAACGTTACTCTGATGAGACTCTTCGGCCACACGTCCATCCCACTGTGCATCAAGCGATCGTCAGCAACAACCACAGAACCTCCGTAAGGATACAATGTATGGATGAACAACTTTCGGAGTACATGTAGGTTCTAACACCGTTATCAAGCAAATGATCATTCCTTGCTTCATAACGGTGTTAGAACCTACACTGAAACGTCGTTCCTATTGTAATAAAGAAGCTGTTCATCCATATATTTTATCCTTACTTAGCATTCCAACTTCTAAAGGCCTCTCAAAGAAATCACAGAACCTCCGTCAGTTCGCTCAAGCACTGCAGAACATTCCACGAGCCAAAATTCGGGATCTGAGTGATTCCATGGGACGACGATGCCAGGGTCACTGATAACGAGGTGTACCAATGTTGAACAATCGATTACCATCTGTTGATTATATATATGATATAAATATACATGATCTTTTGGGTTTCATTTTTTGCAGAGTATATATACATACATAATTAGTTATCAGTTATCTTGTACAATCATAGCATGTTAATATACATTAGACACGGAAAATACTATTGCAGCAAACCAATACTAGCGCCATTATCAAAGTTATCATGTGGCAAGAGTACATAATCAATATTCACCGTCACTCGCTTGAAGTTCAAACATGGCAGAAAAAGGCCGAGAAGCGCGCTAACCACCTTACTTATTAATTTTATCATATTTCGTAATCCGTAGCACTGTATACAATATGAGTTACATGATTTTAAGGCTGGGATGATAGTTTTGATTTTGCGCACTCAGTGTTTGACATCGTAATTCGCAGTTGAAAAGTGACAAATTTACGGGACCATATATGGTGGCAGAAAGGGTGTGTGAAAAGTGAGGGACCATATATGGTCCCGTGGCACCAAGAGGGTTAAAAGGTAGAATAGGGTATACCATTTTGTATTTGAACATTGCTTATCTCTATTTTATAGCACAATTGTTTTACAGAGTTCTGTATACTTGTGTAAACTTGTGTATTTCAGAAAGTGTATTTTTATATTGAAATGTTTCTTCGATTATTTTTTATACAAACGATCATTTATATAGTTTGCTCCTTTTTCTCTCAAATCCTTACATGACCCGTAAAGATCCGGGGCAGAATAGATCTTCAGCAACCTCTGCTTACCGTAAAAACTGACTATGCTTGTCGTAAAAGGCGACTAACGGGATCGGGTGGTCAGGCTCGCTGACTTGGTTGATCCATGTCATCGATCCCAATTGCGTGGATCGATGCTCATGATATTAATCACTGGATTGTTTGGTCCAGACTCGATTATTTACAGACCGCCGTCATATAGCTGGAATATTGCTGAGTGCGGCATTAAACAACAAACCAACCAACCAACCAACCAACCCACAACAACACTTCGCCATAACGCGACTGAATGCACCGAGTGCCCATGTAGTTCCCAACTCGCACGTCCATGTGCTGGTCAGATATGTCGCAGCAGCAGTAAATAACAGGTTCTTTCGCAAGTCCAGAATTTGTCAAAGTCGAATTTCTTGATGGAGGCACGTACTCCATTTTGGAATCCGAAAAACAGGGTTGGAAGCTGAGAACAAGTAGATAATATTCGAAGAGTGAGTGAGTTGGTTTAAAAGCCCCTTTCGAACTGTAATTCTGTTATATTACGGCGTGAAAGTTTGATGAGAGAGGAAAGCTCGAAGGGAAGCAGGTCTTAGATGTTTACCACTTTGGTCAAACCCACGAGCTTGGGTATGATGCTGACATACCTCAAAGCATAATCGGGGCGAACTGGGATTCGAACTCATGATCCTACTTTCTGGCTTGCCCTGAGGACCCAAATCTGCACATCGAATTCCGGGGCAACCCGTGTCAGAGCACTCTTTTACAGCCAGTGTTCCGGACGCTTACTCCACATATAAAACTGCTTGAACCATCAAGCCTGTCCCAGAAGTGTGGTAAGGAGACACATGTAACGCTCACTAACGTTTCAGGTGTAGATATTGTATGAGCGTTTCGGCCACCATCTGCTATGACCATATCATTTGCTGCCACAAACATTGTTTGTTTTTGTTTAACGCCGCACTCAGCAATATTCCAGCTATATGACAGCGGTCTGTAAATATTCGAGTCTGGACAATCCAGTGATTGACATTATGAGTATAGATTACGCAATTTGGACACGAGGACATGCAACAACCAAGTCAGCGAGCCTGACCACCCGATCCTGTTAGTCGTCTCTTACAAGCAGAGTCGCCTTTAACGGCAAGCATGGGTTGCTGAAGACCTATTCTCTACCAGGATCTCAACGGGTCGCTGCCACTAACAATCATCAGACACAGCTTATAATGATACATACTGCTACATAACACAATACTAAAAAAATATGCAATACAGGTATTTCTATTTTGAAGAAAATACCTAGTGAGAGACATGTGTAAAGAAAATAACACTAACATAAGCAAATAATTTGCCAGTACATTTTTGATTCATCAGTAAACAAAGTTAAACATCGAATATATAATATACAAAGTCACTGACATACACGCGGGAGGAACAACAAAGCCACCATGGACATTGGTTGGTTACATTTGTGTTCAATAGTTTCGATGGTTGGTCGTGATGAAAAGGAAATCGATTTGGATTATTCAACAGTGTAGTATGGATAGAAGACTTCATGAAAGTGACTGCAGTGAACCTTTCATCCGTCCTCAAGAAAAAGAGGCACAACTCCGATTATGGTTAGAGTACGCCATTATCACTCATCTCTGACGATTTGCTGTGGATTACAACAGCATTGTTTTGTATTATTCGGTTCATAATCATATTGAAATCATGTACTTTTTTGCTGTCATCTATTAATACGAAATGATAAATTCATACAACATTACAAAATAAGTGAAAATGAAGTAGATTGTCGTATCTTTTAAGGAAATGAGTCCTTGTATTCCAACATTCAGCTGTTCCTTATCTATCGAGTACGCGATTCTTTGCCATTTTATTGATGTTTCTCCTTTTGGTTCTGACACATCTAAGGTAAAATCAATCACAGTTCTGGTATTTCATCGATATCGAATGATAGACTCAATAGTAATCAACCATGAGTCATTATCGAGTAAATCTGGGGAATCACTGGCGTCAATTGAGATTGTGAGAGAAAACAACACAAGATGTCGTACCAATGTTAATGTCTGTATAGATCTTTGTTTGGAGCAATATTTGTGATGAGTTTGGTGTTATAAATATTAGAGTATCTCTGCCAAGGATTCTTATGTATTGTTCAACTCGCTCTTATTAGATAGCAAACGCAGTTGCGGAGGAAGACGTCAGCAGTTTGAGGGAGTATTGTTAAACACATAAACGGATCAGACGTGCGTCAGTAAGTAATGATGGATTCAACTTCACGGATCAGATTTCAAGCTGGCTCACATGTGCCCGTACTTTGTATTTTGGTTTTACTCGTTGCCTGTTCCTGTTCGAGTGAGTTCCGTGGGGAACTGTTCACAGCAATGTCCGGGTGCTCTGAAGGTGTCATTCTTCCGGTGTCTCCTGTCAACTCTGATGTTGTAGCATCTGCAGGTCAATGTTTGGCAAACTGTCTTGAAGATTCCAGCTGCATGTCCGTCAACATCTGTGAAGATTCTCAGAGTGGACAGGTGTGTCACAGACTACCTGAGACATCAAACGGGTCGTGTTCCGATCTGCAGGCGGCCGCTGGGTGTGTCCATCTGGAGCCGGTGAGTAGCTTTCTGAGTTCTTCCTCTTACTCTTGTGTTCAGATTGACCCGATGTCCAGACGAGATGAAATGTTTCAACCATTTTGTTTTTATTTGAAATTCAGCTTATCCCCTGTAGGGACGTTTATTCAGGAAAAGCCTCAGCATTCAATAATTGTCAATACTAATTGTCTTTAGTTGAAAATATATCAATTAGCACATGGGGTAAAGAAAGAATACAGGTGAAGGTAAAGCGGGAAAACACTTAGGTGAATGTAAAATGAGAATACAGGTGAAGGTAAAGTGAGAACACAAATAAAGGTAAAGTTGGAACACGGGTGAAGATGAAGTGAGAATACAGATGAAGGTAAAGTGAAAACACAGGTGAAGACCAATGCGGAAGACGGAAGACCAATGCAACAACGCCATCGGCCGACTGCAAACAGGAACATCATCTGTGGCCGTTGACAGGTTTTTCCACGTAATAGTAAGCACCATCACAAGAACCGTATTCACGGGACAACTAGGGACCATTCCAGATCCGGTCGACAACGCATCAGTTCCAGAACACAGGACAAATCCATACGTCTACGTCACTTACGATAAAGCACCACCACGGCCACCACTACGGCAATATCAGCCCAGAAAGTGAGGAACCGTTTTCGCGCTGAAGTAATTCACGGTAGTCGACCCGTTCGAGGTGTCATTTTGTCGGACCTGTATCGTTGGCTGCGACAGATTGTGGCCACAACTGCGACGAAGACATTTTTGGTTTAGTCACGTTTTATGCATTGCCGTGCGGATGGTAGACGTCGTGCTTACAGGCGTCGCGGGGAACGTTATGCACGAAATTGCTTGCAGGAAGTGAACAGATTTGGTAGTGGTTACGTGATGATGTGGGCAGCAATTTCCTACACTTTTAGAACAGATTTGGTGCATGTTCTTGGAAATGCAACAGCACAGCGTTACATAGATGCAATTCTTTGGCCACACGTCCTTCCTATACCGAAAGTCATTTTCCATCAAGACAAGGCCCAATGTCACATTGCAAGACTGACAACAGCTTTTTTATGGAATCAAGTCCTGCCTTTGCACACCAGGTCTCCAGATTTAAACTCAATCGAACATTAATGGGATGCACTGGATCAACGACTGTGAGGTCGTCAGCAACAACCAGAGCACCTGTGCTGACAGTTGGCACAAGCACTGCAGGCAGAGTGTCTGAACAGTCCCCAGACCACAATTCAGGATCTGATTGCTTCCCTAAGACGACCATGCCAGGCAGTTTTTGGACTCTAATGGTGGGCATACAAGGTATTGAGAACAGATGACCTTCACCTTGAACATCTACTCTATGGATCCTGGGTTAATGACAATGATGTGTGCCAACCTTGAACAATCGATTATCATCTGTTGATTATTTAAATGCTATAATAAATATAATATTTAAAACCACTATTGCGTTTCTCTTTTTGTAGACGAAACATGTATGTGTATGTGTGTTGTCAGATTTATGTCATGAGCATCTTGTAGTTTTGTTGTCATTTTAGCTCAATTTTTCATAGATTCAATGGAGACGTTTATCCCAATCTTTCTTCAGACACTTTGGTGTCCATCTTGGATTTTATGGCATTGTAAAACATGTTTTTCAGAAGGAAAGTCAATTGTTCACCTGAAAACACACGGGGACTTATGGCTCATGTCAAAATTGGGAATTGCATCGGGCATCATTTTTGTCACTTGTCAAGTTTGGAAATATCCTCTACGTATCTACCATAAAGCTTTTTTAAAAGCTTTACTGAGGCATTGCATGTTGTAACAGCTTCAGAACACGAGTCATATGAATCAACTAAACTGGCTTTGCATGTGATTGTTACGGGTGCTCACCTTTTCACGAACATCTGGAAGCAACACTCATACAATCAAGCCTGCTTTTGGACGAGATGTCGTCTGAATATTATAAGGGTCTTGTCGCGTTTATGATTATACTTGCGTCCACTACCGCTGCCAGAATCAGTGTGGGAATTCCAAAATCACACTGATCGTATACGTTTATCATTACGACATAAACAATGAGTGGTAAAAGTCATAAGCGAGAGGGATCAGTGGTACAAATCGATGATCAACGAATCCTGACACATGTAAGGATCACCACCCTGCACAGCGAATAACCGCCACAGCGTCTTTCAGAGAACTCAAATCATTTATATAGCATTTTTGAGATATTTTGCAATTTTTCATGAGAAAATTTCTTGTAGCATCCTTGAAATCAATTATTGATTTCGTTTCAGGTGAATGTGTGCCAACACGGAGGAACTTTCAATGACTCCACGTCTAAGTGTGATTGTTATGATGACTTCACGGGACCCTACTGTGAGAGACGATACAGAGGTCAGTTGCATTAACACGATCCTCAACAAACCTCAACGATGTTGTCCTGTGTCTGAATAGTTTTGTTTGATGCCCCACACCACAACATACTTTTGCTTACAATAAAAGTTCCCATACGACCCAAATGCCCTGATACATACGATTACCCAAAATACACATACCAGAAGAGGATTCAATTCTGCTTCATCTAAACGCATCGCTTGTTTTATTTGTTTATTTATGTTCATTCTGTGTTCATCTGCTTAGTTGTCTAATCCACTTAAAAAATATTTTTTCAGACTGTTCTGAGGCCCACAAATATGGAATGCGAGGGAAAACATCCAACCATCGAATCATCAGCATCCAGCCACTTAACGCTCCCACAGAGTACGAGGTGGAATGTCTTCTTGCGTCTGGAGGCTGGACGGTGGTGGAAGAACGAAAATCAAGCTGCCAGAACGACTACAACAAGACATGGGATGAATACAAGACTGGATGGACCACGACATGCAACAGGTGGCTCGGACTTGATGCTCTACACTACATCTCAAACCAAGGCATCGCCAAATTCGATATGAGCGTCCGCGGAAGTGGTGCATTATCAGGACAGTACTACTACTCTAATTTCAAGATTGGTGATGAAGCCGATGGGTACACTCTCACCTACACGGGTAGCTTTCAGCATGCTACTAAAGCTTCCGGGAATGGTTTTGAGTACGGAGTAGCGAGTAAGAGCATCAATGGTCAAAGGTTCGCCACGTGGGACCGCCCCGACCCCTTGGGGTGCTCTGTAAGTGATGGAGCAGGGTGGTGGTATGGGACTGACTGCCCTGAAACAAATCTCCACAAGAAGTTCAATACCAGTGTATCGGCGATAAACATGGCGCAATGGCCAGACAACAATGGCGTTCTGGAAAAAGTATCTTTTATTAAAACAGAGATAAAGGTAATTTGGTAATACACTGTCAGCATGTAATGACCTGCATCTGCGTGCTGATTCTCAAACAAAGTACTTATCGCATTTGGAATCCTATATATTCCTAAATCAACAAACTCTTGAACAAGGCCAGTGATTGGTACATGGGTCCTTTCCACAAGGCACTGATGACCATCACATAGTGTTAATACATGTAATATCTATGTCCGAACTTCTTAAGCTACTTTACAGGCAAACCAGTGCATAGGTGAAAGGTATACGCTGGGAATATGGATGAACTTTGGAAAGGACATGAAAAAAGTGCTCATTCAATTTATTTTCTTGAAAAGTGACGAAAAACAATTTTAAATTCATTTTCTATCAGAACTTCTCGTCTTTTGCTTCCTGCCTCTGTGGCAAAATTGTGTTTTTTCTGGACTTGTCTTGAACCAATAAAATGTTCTTGGTATATGTATATGGGTTTTTTATCCATGACACATATTCCTACTCTGAACAAATCGCCGTTTATTGTATTGTTGGGTAATTTTCAGTTACGACAAGTTCGCATTGCCACAAAAGTGAAAAGGGGCCTCTTTTTGGGAACAGCCAGATCATATCATTACGAAATACATTAAATCTCTTAAAGGTTCTGAAAGCGTAATGTTTCATACACATTGCTATTAAACATGAAATCCTACGGCGACATACACGTACATTTGAGCGTGAGTGAAATCCGTGGCAATGAATACACCAATAGCTAGCTTGATATTTATTTCGGTATTTAAGGCCACATGGCCCATTGTATAGTTGACATTTTCAGTCGCATATGTTCAGGAACGTGATATACATGGTATATAAAAACAGAACATAACAATTATACAAAATTATAACAAAATGTTTCAACAATATGGCCAGTGTAGGTATAACAGCTGAGTTGTAGGATTTTTAAGATTGATCATTAACATTTTGTTTGAATGCCTATTATTTAACATCGGAATACACTTTTCTCTAAGATGTTCATACTTATGACATACTAATAAACCATGAAGTTCATCCTCAATCTCTCCTAATTGGCAGTTTATACAGACAACCATTTCAACTTCCCTTTTTACATTTTAAAATTTATGTTGAAATTGGTTAATGATTAACATAATGCCCTAACACGCGATTTATCATCTACCATACTCATATACTTCTCTGTTTCTAAAACAGACTTGATATCCTTGACTGGGGAAACGTGAAGAAAATATACTATCATGTCAGTTTTGACTATACATGTCCTGTAACCTTTCTTTAGAAGAGTGTACGAACACCTTGGAAAATCCACACAAATCCACGAAAAGGAATAATAAATGGCATCAGACATCCAGTTCGTTTTACCATTTACCAAGAGCTTTCAGTAATTTATAACATTGGTGAGGATATCTTTGCGATGCCATCTTCAGTAATTTTGACCAATATTTTGTCCATCGAAGTTGCCTTAATACATGGATGGAATAGCTTTATAAGAAGCATATTTCCAACCTTTAAAAACGTTTAAAGTAAGAAGCATGTACTTATTTAATAGCGTCATTATATTTTGCGCCCCATATTTCTGCCCCACGTGACAAGATTGGCGCAATATTGCCGTCATATATAGCACAAGCTGTAGAAAAGGAAAACATTATAGATAGGTATAATTGCTTTTGGTTCTTGCGATGCTAATTTAGATAGGGTCAAGCCTAAATATTTTTTTTAATTTGAAGTTTACACGATATACGGCTTTTCCATTGGACGAGAGGTCGGTCACATGACCGCGAAATTGACGAAGTGTATGAACGACACAATTTGAGGTTCATACGTTTTTCATAAGACCGTGTTCTTGAAATGACGTAAACACTGACGGACTACTTCCAGATTCCTGGGGAAACCCGTGGGAACTCCCTTGCACGAAAAGCGTTCTTTCTGATCATTTAGAAACTTTGTTCTTGGTCTCAGCGTTTCAGTATACATTGATAAATGTCAGAGAGCGTGACTGCATGATTGTTCACGAATATCCTCGCTGCGGCCTATCCTTACGAACAAACGAAGAAACGCACATCTAAACTATCGTAATATCGACTCAATCCGTGCCTAGGCTGACATTGACCGTCTCCAGCAATCTATGAATTAACCTTTCAATGATCGGCCAGTTGATCAATGATGACGAACACATGTAACCGCCACAGGTACATTAACAACTTCGGAAATCTCTCCCGCCACGTTTATCGTGTCGGCCATTTTGACGTTTTGTACATGTAAATGTATTACGACGCGCTGTTTTTGTGACTGACTTACTGAGGTAGTTCTTTACAAACATTTCTCATCTAATGAGGAGTGAGTGAATGAGTATGGTTTTACGCCGCTTTTAGCAATATTCCAGCAATATCACGTCAGGGGACACCAGAAATGGGCTTCGCACATTGTACCCATGTCTGGAATCGAACCCGGTCTTCGGCGTGACGAGCGAACGCTTTAACCACTAGGCTACCCTACCGCCCCGATCTAATGAGGATATGATTTGAACACTTGTGCTGCGTAAGATGTTTCCGAAGAACAAGTTGTGCATCCATACGCCCATGTCACCTTTTTTTTAGGAACTATTTTACTCCGCGATATAGCTGGTTGTTGTATGGTTGTCAGTGTAAACATGAATTCAAAGGTACTAAACGAATTGTGTTTAGATTTTGGCCTACACCCTTTGATGTAAGAAATTCTGATAAAACAATAATAAGAACTGACTTTCACTTTGTGTGAGTTCATTGGAGTATGAACCTTCATAGAGTGAGGGCCAAACATTGTATGAACGTCGTCGCAAGCTCCGAAGTACACATTTTCGCTGGACAAAGATTAACACGAACCAAAATCTGAAAATACATTATTGATACGGACATTAATCATTCTGTCTTTGATTTCGTTTAGATATCAATACATCGACCGACCTAATTTCAATGTGTTTTACCAGGTGACTGATCAATATGCCAGCCAGGATATGATCACAAAATACGTATTGAAATACATGAACAGTTTCTGTGAGACTCTATGATTTTATATTCCAATATTAATAAGGAAGGGCGCGGGGGGAGGGGGGGGGTGGGGGGGAGGGGGTACCAGGTTTTGTTTGAAACAGAACATTTTATCAGTCAGCTATGAAACTTGCAATTATTTTCTCTGAAAGAAGTGGCCCAAAAAATTCTTAATGCAGAATGCATATATGTACCATGAAGGTTGCTAAAACCTACATCTATAATCCTAAACATTGGCGAATTCTTATATAAACATTTGTCGTATCGAATTCCTATAATTAACCTCAAACATGTTGTTTTCAAGACTGTGAGTATTAATGATCGATGAACCATGGTTACATAAATCACACATGAACAATGGTAAAATATAAACCTGAGGCGACATTTTTGAAGACAAGCATACTTTATATAATTTTGACAAAGGATCGACCCAGCCTGAAACACATTTTCGACACATTTGAAACACAATGTGGCATTAATAGTGTCGTTCTTTTCTCTTGAAAAGTATCGATTAATCAACCTGGCTCACAACAGATCCATGTTTTGGTTTTAAGTTCTTGTTCGATAGTACTTTGGACTGCTTGACAAGATATATTGATTCAGTTGATGCGACACATGATCTCCCTGCATCGTATTTGAGTGAGTGAGTGGATTGGGTTTAACGCCGCTTGTAACAGTATTCCAGTTATATCGCGGCGTGTCAGCTTAATGTGGGAGGAAAGCCAGAAAAGTGATGAAGGTCACAGACGTTTAGAACTTAATTGAAACCCAAGAGCACGGGTATGGTGCTGATAAACCTAGAAACATAATTGGGGCGATCCGGGATTCGAACCCACAATCATATGTTTCCGGCGTGCCCAAGGGATGCAACTCTGCACAGCGAATTACGGCACCTTAGACGACTGGGCCACTCGTGCCCCTGTATCTTATTGGAGCACGTACAGTACTTGTGATGAAGTGGACACATATTATAACACTAACACTAATGACACATATTTCTTCGGTGTTACTCTTTACTTCTAAGCAACTGATTCTCTGCACACACGTAACTGAGAATTAAGATGTCGTGTTTAGTTTCAGCAATATCCGTAAACGCACTCCAGCTTCATCGAATTGTCTGGTTAAGACGTGATTTGTTGCAGGCTGCCTTCGTATTACAGAGTACTGCTGTGTGGCGTTAGGAAACATACGCTTATTCTATTTGTGTTATCGGTAGAGAAGGACACGTTTACCCTCTTCGCGAACACCTTGTGTCATCAAGTGTATTTTCAATGTATGCTACTCATCTGAACACAGGACAGGAACAGGATAGCTGACTGTATATGTTACTGAACACAGAAGAGGAACAGGATAGCTGACTGTATATGTCACTGAACACAGGACTGGAACACGGTAGCTGACTGTATATGTTACTGAAGACAGGACCGGAACAGGATAGCTGACTGTATATGTTACTGAACACAGAAGAGGAACAGGATAGCTGACTGTATATGTCACTGAACACAGGCCTGGAACAGGGTAGCTGACTGTACATGTTACTGAAAACAGGACCGAAACAGGATAGCTGACTGTATATGTCACTGAACACAGGACTGGAACACGGTAGCTGACTGTATATGTTACTGAAGACAGGACCGGAACAGGATAGCTGACTGTATATGTCACTGGACACAGGACCGGAACACGAAAGCTGACTGTATATGTTACTGAACACAGGACTGGAACAGGGTAGCTGACTGTATATGTCACTGGACACAGGACCGGAACACGAAAGCTGACTGTATATGTTACTGAAGACAGGACCGGAACACGATAGCTGACGGTATATGTTACTGAACACAAGACTGAAACATGTAATAATAGGCGAAGCGTGTCACCGCATTAAAATGATATTCCTTGCCTGTGATGCGGAGACTATGTGCACAAAATGACAACGTGGGTTGTGAGCATTAACAACGACCACCGCCGACTCGGAATGATGGGCACGCAATCGTCTATTTACAATCAGCACATTATGACCTTTGGCATAAAAGGTTGGGACAGGGATTATCTGATTTGGCCAATTTAAGTGGACGGTTGCAAGTGACTATGTGATATATACTGACGTCCAAAAGAAACTTTACCAGAGTTTGAAATCACTCTTGCTCAAAAACAACAAAACATACATGCATGAAGTAAAGTGTATTGAGAAGATCAATATATCAACATAATCACGCTGATAATGACAATCATACGCGACCGAGAATGGCGTCAGAGCCCCCCAAAGTTGGGTGTGGTACAAAACTCGAGCTTTCACAATCATGGACAATAGGCAGAGTACATAAACAATCGCTCACGTTCAATAACAAGTCATTAGTAGCGTGTGTGACCACCAAATGCCTCAATACACGCAAAAACTCTTCGACGCA